TCGTACAAAGTGATTCTCTAGTAGCAGACAATATCTCTTATCTCTATCTAAGGCCCAAAGAAATTTGCATGCTTTAATTACACGAAAATTACATGAGAAAGAGCTACGATGGACCTAGTGATACATTCAAGGACAAGACATAATTAAGTTTTCCAGCATGCAAAGTCAGTAGGACCACCTTCTGTCTGTGCACAGGTTGTGCCTTAGGGAATGTGTGGGGCCCTAGGGGATCCCACAGAACCCACTGCAGAGAGATCAAACCCCTGACCACCACAGATTTAAAGATTCACAGAGATGTCCCATGAAGTTTTAAAGACTCAGTCTTCTCCTTTTGCAGCACTTCTTTCCAGCTGGTATACAAAAGAGTTTGCATTGTATTACCTTGAAACAATTTCTACAGTCTACTAAAAGCTTGGGTTTATCTTAGACTAGTTTATAGTTGGTACAATAGCTTTAAGGAATGGAATTTGTATAATGGAAACAGTGAGCTGAAAGGCTTTGTACCTAAATGTCAGTCTTTTGGAGAGGAAAAAAAAAACACCTGACTTGAGACAGCACACTATACATATATTGTTTAACACCAGTGCAGATAAGACCTGGAAATATGATGCTTTGCTTTGCAAAGTTTCTTTGCCTTAACAGATAAATTTCTGCAGTCAGACAGAAAAAAACAACTTGTGAAAAATCTAGGTCTGAGAAAAGATAAGCAACACACACTGTATATAGCCATAGACTGCAGAGTCTTTTTGTAACTATTCTAATAGGACCTATTTCTTCATTGCTCTGTGGCAGGACTGGGAAGGTAACATACGCTATGCACAATATAACCAATTCACCCTGAGCAATGAAATAAACAGCTATCGTCTGTTTGTGGGGAACTACAGCGGCAACACGGAGCGCGATTCCCTAAGGTACCACAACAACACAGCCTTCAGCACGAAGGACAAGGACAATGACAAGTGTGTGGACGACTGTGCCCAGTTCCGTAAAGGTAAAAACCACATAAATGCTCTTCTGTCCCAAGACGTACAGACATCAGTACTCTTTAAATAATTTAGCGTACGCTCTCACCTACATTATCCAGCCCATTATACACATCTGCTAATGTGCCAGACTATCTCAGGTGTTGATGCAATAAAGGAAGTGATAAAGGAAGTTATTCCTACATATCTAGAAGGTTTTTATTCTTTTTTATTATATTTTTGAGGTTTCCAGTATTAGGGACTTGCAATTATTCTCCTATGTAATTGCCTACATGTACCTCAAGGTTCAACCTGAATTCTAATCTTTATTCCTATTCTATTAAAAGCCTCTAATGAGGTTACTCTCTTCATTCAATTTATTATCTTTATGAGGTCTGACACAAAGATAATTGTCTTCACCATGTCTTGCCCTTTATTTTTAATTGTCCCATTGTGCCCCCACACAGCATGCAAATAAAATCGTTGCTAATAAAAATAATGCCGCTTACTTGCAGAGTCCAGAAACCTTTTAAACTCCTTAAAATGCCCAGATTAAAAATTCAAATCCATTTCCTACACAAACTCTCAAGAGTTATAGACAGAAACATGTCAAGGAAATATTTTAAGCAGAATGAGCAACTAAATTAAAAGCTACTGGACTAACTTGATTAGGTAACTGTAAAGCCTTCAAGTATTTAGTATCTATGTTAAGTTTTGAATTTACCTACAATTCCAGGTATTAGGGCTGCATTTTGGGCACTCTCCTCAGGAAAGAGCAGAAATTCTTATTACTAATACAAGACATACATGTTTTAAGTAAGTGGCTCACCAGGAATGTATTAACTTGTTTTCTGAAAAGGTGGATATTGGTACAACTGCTGCACAGACTCCAATCTGAACGGGGTTTACTACCGCAAAGGAGAACACACCAAGAACATGGACGGCATCACCTGGTATGGATGGCACGGATCAACCTATTCACTGAAGAGAGTTGAGATGAAGATCCGGCCAGAGGATTTCAAACCATAGAGGGAACCAAATATCTGATTGTACAGCTAAACGATGCCACTGCATTGCAGGTGGGCCACGGACAGCTCAAAAATCAGCCAAATAATTGTTAATTTCATCTAATACGTGCAACAGCTACATACAGGCTACGTACACACACAAACACTAAGGCACACTAAGCACCAGCCACAGTCACTAGTGTTATCAGGGCTCAAACTTATTTCCTCCTCTTAAGGCTCTTTCCAAAGGGAAAAATCACTGTGTTAGAATAGCTAGAACAGAATGCACTTACAGCACCTTCAGAAAACCTACTGGTGTGTTTCCACAGCACTGTGACTAGTGGGTTGCCTTAGTAATAACCAGCTAGGCAGGGACTAAAAAAAGAAAACCCCCTTTTTGCCTCTCCTTCAGCATCTAGAGTAAGCATAGTAACTTCTTCCAAGAGGGAGTCAATTCACAGAAATGACATACCAAACCAGAGGAATCATTCAGAAGAGTCCCTGATGCACCTTTCTTTAATGGCTTACATTCTCACAGAGAAAAAAAATAAAGCTTAAAAATTGTGGATTACTTAGTATTGCCCAGATTCTCTCCTGAAGTTTTACTGCCATCTGCTGCTGCTGCCTCAAAGAAGTCCTCACAGAGAGCTGCACCCAGCAGATATCCCCGGAGGAAGGATAAGTCCTATATGCTCTGCGATGCTTATTCCCATCCAGAGATCACACTTAAAGGTTGATAAACTAGAAAGCAACTTTCTGGGCTGACACCAAGTTATGTTCAGGTTAGAATGTAAGCGTGCTACATGTCAGTGAGACTAAGACACAACAGCAGGTTAGCAAAAAAAAATCCAGATCCCGCTAAAAACCTTAACTCCAACACCTAAAAACACTGTATCCATGAGCAAAACACGAGTACATACCAGAGAACACACAAGTGCCAAAAGCTTTCAACTGTAAGGGAATGTTTGCTGTTGAATATGTTGGAAGAGACACTTATAGTTAATATATCTATTTTTATTCACCTTAAAGAGAGTCTGAATTAATTTAAATTGTTGAGTCTTGTGTGAAATGGGAGATAAAGGTGCCCCGGGAATTGCCTTATATATGTTTGATTATTCATACCGTAAATTTCAACTGTGTGGAACTATAGTTGGAACAATTTTAACTGTGGTCTATAAAATGGATTTTTAAAGGTTTCTAAACTTTTTAATTTCTAATAAATTGTCTTTCATTTTTAATCCTGCTTTACTTCAAGTCTTTGCTCCTTAACTTAATTTGATACACTAAGAAACAACTGCTCAAGTGATTGAGGCCAGGAAAGGGAATACACAGAAATCCACATTTTCCTCAGAAAAACAGAGGACAAAGGATGAAAGATTAAGAGGCAAAAAACCAAACCAAACCAAACCAACCAAACAAAAAACCACAATCCAAAACAAAACAGAAAAGCACAACTCCAAGGCAATAGGAGGGCTGAAAAATTCACTGCATACAGACAAAGCTAAGTTTTCACTCAACCAAAATCAATTTGTCAACCTCAAATGGTAGAGTTAACATTTTAAAACATGTAGTTTGGTACCAAATTCTGTGCAGATATTTCAGGCTAACATCTTACTTGTTGTCAAAGCTCAGGAAACAATACACTCTTCTATAATATCTTCTATTTGATATATGAAGAGTGACACCTAAGCTACATGAGCAGAATCCGATGAGAAATTTTAATTAAGAACTTTAGCTTTCCTGGCTTATTTATATTTAGGTATAGAAATCTCTCTCCTCTAACTTACAGGCATTCCATGAGATCCCATGTGCAACTTGAAGGGTGAGAGGTGGAAATCAGAAGACTCCACATTTTCCTGCAGCTCCACACAGCTTCTATCATAATTTTAACTGCATAATAGAAGGGCAGAACTCAGCAGCTAGGAGTCTACATCTGCAAGCTAGTTAGTGAGCCTACAACAAGGTCTTGTGGCAGAGAGTGAAATCCTAAGAATAGTCGAGATTGGCCCTAATGGTATCCTAAATTAGGTACTGATGCAAGAGCAGACTTCTCATCAGTTGTGGTCCTACCTGATGAGAGACTCCAGAATGGCTGGGGTGGGACCCTTTTGAAATTCCAGCTCCTTGTAGTGAAGGGCCTTGGCATATGCTCGACATTTTGCAGCTCTCTCTCCCAGGAGGACAATGCCATTATCATCTCTCAAAGGCAGTGGACCCTAGGTAGAAGCACATATATAAAAAGCAGGATGAGTACAAAAAAAAGAAGGAAGTATACATGAACTCTTCACACCCTTTCCGCAGACTAGACACCAGCCAGCTAGCCAGCATTACAAAAGAGTTACCTAACAGCATCTCTACCTTGTCACTGTGTTCCATGAATTCTGCCAAGTTCAGCAGTGTCTGAGTGACTTCTGCAATGTCCTGAGAAGTCAGGGCCAACTCAATGCTTCGGATCAGCTCATCCTGCTGGTCTTCATTCAGTTCAGACCAGCATGAAACAAAAGCAGCATTGAAGAGATCTCTGAGGAGGAAAACAAATGAGAATGAGAGGTGGGGATTCACTATTCTTGTAGAAGTCTGACAAGTGGACTTGCCTTCTTACTCAGAGAAGGCAAGCTAAAAAAAGCATTTATATGTCTAACTGCAAGAAATGGTGATTATCTTTTATAAAACTAACTTCTGTACCAAATAGTGAAACTCGCATTTAAAAAAATTAAATAATAGGATGAGATACTACAACGGTAGAAATCTTGTCCTATCACAGGCTAGCAAGTATTTTAGGTTAGAACAAACTCTTCACAGCCGCAAGGATGCACTTCTCTTCTGCTATGAAGAACCAGGCATAGTTTGTCTCAGATCACAAGTGAATGTAGTGAAAAAGATGATTGTACATTTGTCTGGACACATACACTGCAACACTTGTGTTTTCTGTGCTCACTAAAGGACTTCAGTAGCTGGAGTTTACATTAGTGGCAAAGCTTGAGAAGGAGGAAATCATGCTGTTTGCTCTTCTACTTCAAAAATTATAAAACTCACATTACTACAAAATTAAACCAGGAATGAACACTTTTCTAACAGCAGATTCACATGCACCAAGATGACAAGTGTACAGCATCAGGAAGAGTTAAACTAGCAACCGCTTACAGAAACTCAAAGTTTTTCCAGACAAACTGGATGCAAAAGAAAAAGGACTTCAGCTTATTTCACTCAGAGGCATTTTTATTCACCCACAGTAGATCCTTGAAACTAACTCTGCTGTTTTTCCAGCTTCACTTTTATGTGCCTTATGTTATTCTTAGACTAATATACAGTATTCCACTGAAAGATTTTCTGTGCACATCATGGAGAAGCCAGCTGGGAATGTGGAAATGAAATCAAGTTGCCTGCTATTTTATTTGTCCCAAAGCAGGAACTATCTCTATTTATGGAACCTAAGAGTTTTAAGTAACTTTTTTTCCTTACAATATCTGGCTTGCATCTGCAATTTCAAGTGATCTGAGAAAACCAGAATTACTCTACCGAGCCATGGGATTATATGCCTGAGCCAGGGCCCAGCATGAGCGCAAGGACGGTGAGGATGAATCTTTCAGCAGCTCCAAACTCAGTCTTCTTAACCATTCCAACCAGTCATCTTTGGAAACTCTTCTTGCTGCTCCCCAGGCCTGCAGTACAAAGCAAGACAATTCAAATGTAACACAATCCAAAAGCAGAAGAAATCCATCAACAGGAAGCACCACTTCTTTACAGCTCCAAGCCACATTGCTGAAATTCCCTTTTCAATTTCCTGAAATCCACTACCTTTACCAGATAATTTGCAGTACTTAAGTCTCATTTCTAAGAAATCTTCCCTAAACGTGTTCCTGTCATGACACGCCAAGTACTTAACATGAATAATTCTTTCCC